TTTTGTCTTAACATTTGCATCCGCAACAAAATATGTGTAAAATAAGTTACGAAAGTATGGTCCAAACCGGAAATTTCGAAAATAAAATCCTGTTTTTTTTCTTTTAATTACTGAAAGATACTTATGTATTAGTCACATAACTTACGTGTATAAATCGAATTCTATATATAATGATAATATCCTGTGCTTCAGCACAAATCCGATTGTCAGTTTAGAAATCTCCGGCCCGGTTTAGGTTTTGTTACACATTTTATAGGCGTTCTCCCTACAGTTAACTATCTACACACGTGCAGGAATCGACTCAGGGATTGAACATTCCGTTATTTAATAAAGCACACACACAAAATGATTAATTTTTTCTCTAAGAGGAAATTTTATGATATTTAACGAACAATTAACATGAACATAATACAATTGTTGATATAGTATAATCAATTCATTGGTGAAAAAATATCAATCGAAGAATGACCTAGATAATTTCTGTTATCAAACAAAAAAAAAGCTGAGGAGGGAGCGAGCGTAGGAATATCAATATTTTTATTTGCATTTCTGGGGGAAAGTGATCTTTGGAGAAAAAAATAACGTTAATTTTCGTTTCTTTTACGTATGACATGCACAGCATTTTCTTAACATGAACAATTATGTTGTATATCTACTTATCATGATGGAACTATTTTCGTCGGAACTATTTGTGTGAGTCGCCGCTGACTACAGTAATATATTTTGCACTAATAGTATGCACTGATCGAATATATTAAAAACATTTGTTAAAATGTTGAAAAAGAGTTCAATGAGCCTACTGGTAAGCCCAATATACGCCACGAGACTGTGCAGCAACAAAGTCTGCGCCACCAGTAGGCATGTGACAAAATAGCAAATTATGATTTATATGAACATGTCACTAGAACCATAATAGCAAATATATGCCAATAAATGCAAATAGTATTGCCTTAGCGACAAGCAACAATCAATCTTCAATGAGGGCAAAAACCTTGCCCAAAATATGTCAATAAATGCAAGCAATATTGCCTTAGCAATAAGCGATGACAATACAAAAATAATGGACTAGTCACAATGTGCAGCCATATTAAATACATATGGCTAAAGCACTATGACCCCATAACTAGTCATAGCGCAGCCATTGCCCAAAGTATGACAAAAATGCAAATTATGATTTATATGAACATGTCATTAGAACCATAATAGCAAATTTATATATGTCATTAAATGCAAATAGTATTGCTTTAGCAATAAGCAACAATCAATCTTCAATGAGGGCAAAAACATTGCCCTAAATTTGTCAATAAAAGCATGCAGTATTGCCTTAGCAATAAGCGATGATAATGCAAAAACAAATGCGCAGCCATATTACTAAATAAATACTCAGTATTTATATACGTTGTTGAAACTATGGCCCCTTAACTAGTCATAGCGCATCCATGACTCAAAGTATCCCTGTGCTGATGAAGCAATTTAATAATAATGTCTGTGTTTGCAAGAGAAGCCTGTAAAATGGTTAAAATTTTACAGGTTTTTCTGTTATCCATTCCAAGTCGAGATATCTAACACCGTGTCACTTAACAAGGTATGGAAGTTGCAAACCTAGATAACGGCGTACAAGACATATTATGTTTTTCTTTTTACCCCTTTTATCCCTTCACTTTCATAAATCACTATAACACAATAAAACACGACAGAGCAATCAAAGTGAGATCTATACATTGCCCACTCACAGCAATCAGCTAACGCAAAATGAGTGAATTTGTAGCAATTATCTGTTAAAAAATATTTATTTAGCATTGAAGACAATAATACAGATTTAACCTAATATTTCGAAGGCAGAGGGTGACATAACACTCCAGGGCTTTCCTGTGTGATATGTGTATATATGTGATATATATGTATAATATCGGTCCTTCCCATTTACATGTCCTGGGATGCCTATTTACCGAATTATGATTAAAATCTCCATGAATTCTCTTAAAATATGCCTTCAAAAAAAGGAAAAGTTAACGCTGCTTGAGAATCGGTCTTGTTAAAACCAAACTGCCCTGGAAATGAGTCATTCAAACTGGAAAAGGAAAGTTTCAGCACAGACTGATGACGAATAAGTGCCGTGACGTCAGAGTTCCCTTGCTAGGTGCTACTAATATTCCCAAACTATAAATGGAACTGATAAATACCGTACAAATTGCCCAATGAACCCGATGCATTTTCGACCAAGCCACACCACAAATATTTAGTTCATTTTGATAAATAGATTTAACCTTTAGTGGTTAAATCTCAATAAATCGTTAGTGAACATACGTCAGAATTTTTCAGCCACATCATAACATTTGAATGTTTTACTGACCCTGACAAGAATGGTAATTAAAACTACATGTATCATCTAAACTGAATGACAAACGAAGTGACTTTTCCATCGTCAAGATTGTACTAAAATCAACAGCCTAAAAACTTTTTACGACTTTAAACCTTTACATACACTCATTCAACACGAACAATTCAAGTCCAGACTTTTTGATATCTTTGATAGTTGCTTTTTTCAATAAAAATGGAACACGTAAATTTACTTACTTTATCATTTGCAAATTCTTTTGTTAAAAGCATTCTGATTGTACACACAATACAAAATACTTGAGTTTCTGATTGACAATATCTTTGGGGTATTTGGAGACCAGGTCTTTTAACAATCTATTGGAATTCCCAGGGGTACCAATTTCGCCACGTTATAAGCAGACCTATTTTTGTATTCGTATTAGCAGAATTTGTCCAAAATCATATACGTGAAAAGAAGAAAACACTTGCTGTGGCCTTCAAATCGACATTTGATATATCATTGACGTATTGTCAATTACTAAGGGTTAATTCCATTTTTTTGTCGATACGATATATCCCTGTGAGCTTGAGATAAAAGATACCATAGAGTCTCATATATCTGTTTTTTAAAAAGAACTTAATGGTAATCTAACAACCAATCTTTATGATAAACGTGAAGATTTTAACTTTTCAATCGTCAATTTCCAATACTTAAGCAGGAAAATACCTTACACCTCCATACCGGGTTGATATCTAGGTTGATTCGATACGCAAGAGCATGCTCCATGCATGTACAATTTCCAAAACGAGATAAATTATTGTCAAACAAGTTGATGAAAAAGGACATCAACAGTTGCGTTTAAAGTGTTCATTTCGTAAGTTGTCAATACAATGACCTTGTCAGAATACACAATTTATATTGAGTCATATGCTGACTTACGTTTTTCATACTAATTTTAGGCCATAATTTACTCTCTGTATTGTCGACGGATTTTTCTGTTATTTCCCGATCATAACAAGGGGCACTAGGCGGGTGTGAGTGATTGGCAGATATTCACTCCTCCATGTCACCTGACCCACCTCTTTTGTTTTTAAGGTTTGCTCATATCTTATATGCAGTTTGTTGTAAAATATCCAGATATCATACAGATGTGTCAGACTTTTTGTGGTATATTATATTCCAAGCTCACTTGAATGTATAGAGTCGACAAACGAATGGAAGTAACTATTGTTAACTGGTACAACGTCGTCGATATATCGAAATGTCTAGTTGAAGGCCAAGTAAATGTTTTCTTCTCATTTATAAGTTTTTTTTTATAAATTGTGCTGCATACAAATACAAAAATGAGTCTGCTAATAACGAGGCGAAATAGGTTCCCATGGAAATTCCAACAGATTGTTTGAAAAACTGATCTCAAGAAAATACATAGATACATGTGTATTGTCGATTAGAAACTCAAATATCTTTGTTTAATATCCCACTTCATTGTACTTATGTGTACAATCAGAATATTAGCAAAAGACCATTGACAAGGTAAGTATATTCACGAGTTACATTTTAAAAGAAAAAAGTAACTGAATACGACGTCAAAAAAATTTATGTTACTAATTTTTTTTAAATTTTCTAAAAGTTCCTTGAAGTATACATTCACGTCTGATTTACATCCCTTCTCGATTTTACTGTTGTTCAGTCCTCCATAAGTTTCTTCTTCACTACTGTGAATATTTTATAAGTAAGATAAGAGTAAAGAAAGATACTTGTAGCAGAATAAGCATTTCTCATCTGAATCGATAATTGTGTAGAGAAGCTCTGGTCGACGTTGGTTTCTTTCAAAGTGTTTAAAAAGAGACCAACATGTTCAATTCTAATTCATATATTGTGAGAAATTATTTTTGTTCCTCACATTTGTATTATTTTTTATTTATAATGTCACTATGGGAGGGAGTATACTATGACGATTTTTAAAGTCAAATGTTGGAATTTTTTATATCAACTATTTATTTTTATAATAAATTATTTGTTTTTATTTTTAATTTATATCAACAAAAATCTAAAAATCTAAAACTTCGAGTCATTACAGGTATATGCATTCATCCCTCAGATTCTAGATTCCTAATGAGGGTTGGACTTCTAAGCTGTACGCGTTTATTTTTACGTTTATTATCAGCTATAGTCTCTTGAATTTCTATATTGATTTTTATTAATGTTTCATCTTTTTATTTCAAAATAAATTGTTGTAAAGTTAAATGCATACAAAATATGCAAATTTAAAACTATTTCCTAATGAGTATTTCTCGAAGACTGCAACTTGACATGAATTATGGATATAAATTATGGACATTCCTGGAGAGCGCCGCAATACGTTACCGTTAATGAGATTTTCTGTAGCTTGATTAGCATGTTAATTGTAAACAAATGTATTTTGACTTATATTGCTTCTCATCCATTATGAGTTTTTAAACAAAATCTCAAAATTCTCTGCAAAATATTCAAACCTCCATCTAACAAACCGCATTAACGCGTTCCGGAGATTGACCTGTGGGGAATAAGAAGGGCCTACTTCAATTCCAAACTTTTGTTTCTACTTGAAAATTTCTTTGACGTCTTGAAACACTCAGAATCTGTTAAACTCAGAAATATTTCAGAGGCATTGATTTTCTCCTGGCATAAGAAGTGTCTCTCTCCCCCACACTAAGGGCGATCCCCTCTGTTTCATGAACATAGGACGGATAATCCTGTTACAATTGACACAAAATGCAACAGTGGTAATAAGCCATCTCATAGGATGTTTTCACTGCAACGGGTTGAAAACAAACATAATCTCCGAGGAATTTTCAGTGAACTATGGCACAATAGACTGGATTAATAATTCACATTTATCTACTCAACACTAATAGTTAACCCCGTTTTATATCATGGGTATGCTGTTAAATGAAGTTTATTGTATTCGTTGTCACTGCTGCAGGTTTAATTCTTCAGAGATGCAATTTGCCTCAGTTCGCAATACGAAAAAGTATTAAAGTAGTTTTCTGCATAGTTTGATCATGGACGACACTACTGTTGTTCTCATTGAAGCCTTGCGAGAGCAAGTTCTACGGAAAGGTTATGGTGGTATGAGGGGCCTCGCCCTGGCATTTAAAAGCCTTGATATCGACTTTTCAAAAAGAATTGTTTTTGAAGAACTGAAAATAGGAATAGAGTCGTATGGCATACGAATGTCACACGGCTATTTACAGCGATTGTTCCGGGCCCTGGATAAAGATAACAGCGGGGGCATCGATTTCCTGGAGTTCATGAAGGCACTGGAGCCGCCAATGAAAACGAGCAGGAAGGTGGTCATCAATGAAGCTTTTGACAAACTGGATATCAGCAAGGACGATGTCCTCAATATTGATGATCTAAGAGGTCAGTTTAACTCTGCTAAGTGTAAACTAATTCTTAATGTTGATGATCTAAGAGGTCAGTTTAACTGCTAAATGTAAACTAATTCTTAATGTTGATGATCTAAGAGGTCAGTGTAACTGCTAAGTGTAAACTAATTCATAATATTGATGATCTAAGAGGTCAGTTTAACTGCTAAGTGTAAACTAATTCTTAATATTGATGATCTAAGAGGTCAGTTTAACTGCTAAGTGTAAACTAATTCTTAATATTGATGATCTAAGAGGTCAGTTTAACTGCTAAGTGTAAACTAATTCATAATATTGATGATCTAAGAGGTCAGTTTAACTGCTAAGTGTAAACTAATTCTTAATATTGATGATCTAAGAGGTCAGTTTAACTGCTAAGTGTAAACTAATTCTTAATATTGATGATCTAAGAGGTCAGTTTAACTGCTAAGTGTAAACTAATTCTTAATATTGATGATCTAAGAGGTCAGTTTAACTGCTAAGTGTAAACTAATTCTTAATATTGATGATCTAAGAGGTCAGTTTAACTCTGCTAAGTGTAAACTAATTCTTAATATTGATGATCTAAGAGGTCAGTTTAACTGCTATGTGTAAACTAATTCTTAATATTGATGATCTAAGAGGTCAGTTTAACTCTGCTATGTGTAAAATAATTCTGTCTTCATAGAGCTCTACATGTTTAGATTTTTGTTCCACTCTGATCACCAATAAGTTTATATAGGGAGGAAAGTGAACCGATATCGGTATAATTTGCTGTAACGTATTTTAGGTTTAACTGGCTATTGATACTCACTTAACGAATGAAAAAAAGCAATCAAAGCTTGAAAATAAAACACATGTATATTTATGAATTGCAGAATTTTGTTTTTCAATCATATTAATTTTAAATCCTAACACACATTTCTATATATATATATATATATATATATATATATATATATATATATATATATATATATATATATATATATATATATATATATATTGTCCATATGCATATATATGTATATCGGTCTTCTTGATCGAATTCATTTAATTAGAGTTGTGGCAAAAATGGATGTTTAGTCGTTTGTGGAGGAATTTTCTTTTTATCTTGGTGAATACGATGCTTTTAATGAGGCACTCTCTATAATTATAGTGCTGCATGGTGTAAAATCTATCAATTTTTTCTCAGTTTACGTTCCATTTCCCATTATACAAAAGTTTTGTAATTCAATTACCAAGAAGAAAAGCAAGAATTTTTCATTCATCATATCTTACAGAAATCCCCATTAATAAACTAAAAAAGATTTTAAACGGATAAAGCTGTTCAGTTATTTAGATAACACTAATATATCTGTTTTTCATGCTAATTTATGTATCGTTATTTACAGTAGAACTGCAGATTCCAACGCATGACCTTTAAAACACAGAAAAAAAACCATTTGAGCATTGTCAAAATACATACTGATTTAATTAAAACTACTTTATGCTTTGTAAAAAAAAAATGAACATTTTTTTCTGTTCTTCATGTATGCTAGACGATTTAACATTGAAATTGTGAAATATTCTAAATTAAAAACAGAAAATCGATTTGGACAGAACCGACTCTAAAAGCAATGAAAACAAAAGTGCTACTTGCAAATTCCTAGTCCTATGAATATAACTGATGGTCTGAACAAAGAAAAAATTCAGCATCTTTGGAGTACATTCTTCTTGATGTTAACAGGCGAGTGTGTGGGAGCCATGTATCATCAAGACTCTATGATCCTTCATCTAAAAGTTCTAAGCTTTTAATATGTTACATATGTTTACCATTGCTTGAATAATCATGTTACTCATACATGAAAAGAACGAGTGTGTACTTTAAGAGCTTAATAATTTACAAAGATTCCTTAACAACTACTACAAGGGTCATTCAAAAAGTTCGTAGACTTTTGTCCTTACTTTTTTATTTAACGTCATATTATATCCAAATTTGATACACATATTTTAACAACAAATTCGAATAATTTGAGTACAAAAATGGGAATATATCTTCATATTTATAAGAAATTATCAAAAATTTAAAACAGAAAAAAGGGGTTACGGAGCAATGTCTAAATTGAGTAAGAAAGAGAGCTTATAAGGCGTAAACAATCCCCGCTCTGAGACAAAACGTTTCTCAATTTTCAAAATTCTCAGAAACTGCGGTCAGAAGGGCGCATCACACTTGCAAATATTAAAAATCCCTCGTCAAACTCGATCTACTGCTTCAACAATCCGAGAAATCGCCAAAGGGGGGCCGGAAGTTTATATTAATATGCTAACGGGAATTCCATATTTGTCAGTTTTGTGGTGGATCTAAAACGGTGTGTTATAATTACTTTGACATTTTAATAAATATTTCGATTTAGTGAAATGAAAAAAAAAGGAAAACACTTCTTGTGAATATACCTGTAAAATGTACTGTATTAATCTATACAGATCGTTGCGTTCGAAACAATCTTGAATAAAAGAGTGGGGGAGGGGGGATGCTTGAAATAAAAAAAACAACAACAATTCATCTAGAGTTTATTGAACGGTTTTCAAAAAACAATAGACTGCAAACCATCCAGTTATATATACATATATACCTGGCATATGCTTAATTAAAAAAGGGGAGGGGTCACACTGATAAAAGGCTATTTGATGAACACAGGCACCAAGTATACTAGGGGATCAAAAATTCAAGCGAGTTTGGTGCCTGTGGTAATGAACTCAAATATTACCTTATGCAATATGCATACCGGTTGGTATAAACTGTCACCAAGAAAAAAAATGGTTCGGACAATAAAAATGTTGCCATGCCACTACTTTATTGCAGTACATAAAATTGCAGATTTCAACACTCCCTGGAATAATTTTAGTGTGACTCCCCCCCCCCCCTCCCTTCTGAAACACGTGCGCACATGTTACTTTAGATAAACAAAGTCAATCTTGTCCACGGATGGCGCTCAAACAGCGCACCAATAATGACAGTGTTAATAATAATATTTAGGCGTGTAAGTAGGGACTTACAACCGACTCAGTATTTTGTCTTGAAAATGTTCATTAATCAGCCTGATCAGGCTTATCTTCGACAATAACAAAATATAATCGCTTTTATCAAGTTATATCGAAATTATTTTGGAGGGAAATAAAATGAATGTTCTTACATGTATATTACGTTGTATTATTGTCTGAATGATTGTTTTTGGAATAAGTACTAACTTTCGCCGGTTATTTTTAAAAAATAAATCGTACAAATATATTGACCAATCAAAAAAGGGCTTTCCCTGAGAATTTCAAGTCGAATGTAACTTCCGGCCCCCCTTTGGCGATTTTTCGGATTGTTGAAGCAGTAGATCGAGTTTGACGAGGGATTTTTAATATTTGGAAGTGTGATGCACCCTTCTGGTTGCAGTTTCCGTAAGTTTAGACCTCGAAAGACTGACCACAGAAGGAATATGGTTGCAGGGAATTTATTTGACGGGGTTTAAAAAGAAAATACAAGTGGATGTGGCAGACCTAGAAAAATTCAACATGGCGCTGATGGGAACCTTGTTTATTATTCAGTATGTGTATAATTTTTTCATTAAAAGAAAACAGTCGGGTGCCTGTGATACATGTGGACTTGATTTAAAAAGGCAAAAAAATACATGACGCTTGGGGACGTCACGGAGCAGCGAGTAGCAATAAAATTTTGCTTTGCATTCGGGAAACCTATTCAACAAACTTTTAAAAAAAATCTGTATAGATCAGGAAATGTATGAAAAGTAAGCCCATATTTGTATAAAATGCAAAATACAATTTTTGAGTGGTAGCGAGTTTGAATCGGACGATGGATGGTCTGCAAAGAAACAGGTTATAGTTTAAAATCTTGTCAAAAGAGTTATGAACGTCATTAAATGTGATGCGCGCTTCACTGTTGCGGAACTAATAGAGTTACGCAGTAAAGAATTTGAAAACACTGACAATATAGTTCAAGCTATTTGCTATTTGCACAACTGTTTGCAAACTAGGTATCAAGAGTAATGGATACGTTTCTGTGAATGATGAAGACGCTACAAACCGTGTTTGCAATTAAAAAGAGTAATTATGAGAAACTCTCGACGTTGTTTTTGACGTTACAATGTTGGTTAAGTGTGCTCCGTGGTACAAAAAACGTTGCTTTAAAAAAAATTGGCGAACATGAGTTCTATTCAATCAAATGGAATGAAACTTCACACTTCGACAAAATAAATTTTTTTATTTACGAAAATTGGTTGATCTGTAGTATTGTAATAATAATATGACGATGAGGAATATTGTCTACGGATTTTTTGAATGACTCTTGTAAATATGTATGATCACGATTCCCTATAAATAAGAATAAAATAATTGTGTAATTACATGTAAACTTCTTACATTTGTTTGCAATTATACCAGTCATACACTTACAAAATTTGTTTCCACTTATACCATTCATACATGTATTTCCATGGTTATATATTCTTATTACTATTAATTGATAAATGACATCAATAAATCAAAATGTTGAGTAGAAGGCAACACCTTGAGTTTTTATTCTCGAGTCAAATAAAACATATAAAGAGAACAAATAGTATTCAAGATAAAAAAAAATCCATAAAACAATACAAAATAGAAGCAGATCAAATACGGACCTCCAAAACATCAGAAGTGGGATCAGGTGTCATGGAGGAGTGAGCATCCCCTTCCGACTGGTCACGCCCGCCATTTGCTCCTTGTCATGATTGGGAAATTACGGGGAAATTCGTCGTCAATTCAGTGTACAATTCAGTGTACATGTATAAATAATAGACTAACAATTAGTATGAAAAACGTCAGCCAGCATTTGACTCAATAATAAATTGTATTTGCTGACACGGTCATTTTATCGGTCATAGAACTTACGAAATGATGGCTTTAAACGTGACTGCTGATATTCTTGTTTCATTAACTTGTTTTTCAATAATTTACCTCGATTTCGAAATTGTTCATACGTAGAGACTACCA